TTTAAAGGAGGAAAACAACCTAATGTGAAATCCTTAAGTTCAATAATATTATAGCTTACACTGATTTGGTGTTTTCCATGTGCCAGACATTTTGCTAAGTTGTTCACAAAATAACACTTGATCTCATTCCATCCCAGTTATCAAGCACTTTCTATTGTTAGACCTGCTTTGCAGATAAGTAAGCTGAGGCTTTGGCCATTGTAGGTGATTTGTATAAAGTCTCTTGGCTTTGATGGAGGTCGTATTAGAAGCAGATAGCTCAACTCCAGAAAATAAATCTTACCTCAATATGTGTGTGTGTTTCGTGGAATATTGTACATCTATTTTAAATATTATCTACCAATTGTAAATCATGTTTATGCTATTATAAAAACATGGAATAATTTTTCTTACAAAGTTGAATTAAAAAAACAGATATGAAAGTATCTATATGAGTAAATCTCTTAAAAGATTTAATTTACATATCTAGATAAAGAAAAAAAACATGTATGTTAACAGTGACTGTTCTGGGGTTGATGGATATTTGTCCATCTACACTCAGTGTTTCATGTTGCGTAGAGTTTCAACCATGGGTCACCATGAATTGACAATCGGGGGGGGACACACTGGCTCTATATTTCCAAGTTGCACCTCAACCTGACCTCTGACATACGACTGTGTGGGCAGTCTCTATGGTCCCTCATTTCCATTCAGAAAGTAGGCTGGCAGCTCCGGGGTAAAGCTAAAGGCATGAATAATCCCACAAGCCTGGCCTGGGGCTGCCTGACAGCAAGTCACCAAGCAGACTGGGCCTGACCCAGAGCAGAGGCCACAGCTTAGAGCCAACTGCAGCCCTCCAGCCCACACATCTACTGCTTTGGGCTGCATGGTGCCACGCTTGTCCGTGCTTGCTTTCACTTTTAATTGCATTACCTGACATTTTCCAACCCCACAGAAAAATCCAGCTTTCTGTTTTCTCTTAAAATTCAGTAGATCCAGGCTACATGGCAATAGTCAGCTGGAACAGAGTCACTGCTACCACTCAGACAGGAATGAAATATAGGTTAGGAGGGCTGTGGGTGTCAAGAAAAATGAAAAAGGGGACATTTTTCAGACACCTCTGCTCATTGATGTCACCTGTGGTTCCAATGAAGCTTTTCTTCTCTACCTCTACCTCAGAACCTCTGGCTCTATCTCAGTAACAAGAAAAAGAAAACCATGTCTTTTCTCATTTCTCTGGAAAGACTCTTGGCATGAAGTACTGTCTGGTGATCCTTTGCCTGCCTATGTAATATCTATAATCACTATTTTCTCCCAAGCAGCGCGGGGTGAGAGGTAAGGAAGAGTGGACTGCGCTGCGTAGCTGCCCAGAGCCACCGACTGGAACCCTCCGTTGGCACCTCTGGCCACGGCCCTCACTTGAACAACGTCATTTGGAGACTGGGCCCCAGCTCACTTCCCCCCTTAAACTGAAGCTGGTTTTATGCATGATGATCTTGTGCAAAAGCTCAAGTGTTAGGAAAGCTGTCACCGTTTCTGCTTCTAAAAAATCCCCAGTGGGCTCTGAGCCAGCCTGCCTGGGTTCCTAGACCAGCTCCACCTGCTATGATGACCTCAGGCAGGTGGCCTAAGGCAGGTTACAGGCCCTCTCTGAGCCTCAGCTTCCCCTTCATAAATGTGTAGGAAATGGGGTGTTGTGAAAATCAGACATACATGAAGCTCTTAGCATAGGGCCTGGCCCATGAACATGCAAGCTACTCAACCCCCAGCACTGTGCCCCCTCTGACTTAGCACAGGTCAGAGGTTTGCGGGCACACAGCTGAGATGGACTCTGCTATCTTGGTGTGTACCTTCCCTCCACTCTCTGCAGTAAATTGCCTTTGTCTGCACCTTCAGCTAAGCCTGTGGACCCAGGAGCTCATGAGTTAAAGCTCTGCAGGCCTAAGAAATGTTACCTATAGGATTCTCCCTTGGCTCTCATCAAGAGCCTTGACATACCTCCAAAAGACCAGTTTCCTGACACACTGAAAGGACAAAATAAACATGTTCATTTATCTATTGCTGCCTCAAGGTGCTTCCTTAAAAAATTGGTTTCTTTTGTCTCCATGGATGAACTGACAACCTGAGGCCTTGAGCATCTGCATGGGAACAGTGTCAGAGAATCACGTCCCTCTTGAGACACTGCTAGTGTCTCCTGCTGGGGAGAGGGCTGCAAAGGGCACCCTGGTCTCCATGAGCTTGCTACTCAGACAGCTCTAGAAGACAAGACCCTAAAATGGTCTGGACATCCAGAGGACAGTTTTGAAGAGTTGCTGCCCACGTGGGCAGGCTCCCATGGCCAAAAAAAGCAGGCACAGGTGACTACAGGACCCCCTGACTACACAGTCCTTACCTCTGTGTCTCCCATCCTCCCCTCCTCCCACTCTGCTCCAGAATCCTTCCTGACCCCCAGCCCAACTGAAAACCCACCCTCTCCCTACCACCAACCACATTTAGAGTGACCCAGTGCCTGTCTGGGGACAGAATACTACAAGAGGGAAGGAGAGAGTGCCTGGCATATAGCAGGTGCAAAGCTATTGTGTGTTGGGTGAATGAACAAAGCTAACAGCCAGAGCGCCTCACACTGATTAAATGAGAAGATGCTCACGTGGCACTTAACAACCAGCCCATGAAGAACACTTAACTTTGGCAGCTGCTAATGGTGACTGCTCACTCCCTAAAATTGGCTAGGTGATGCACAGTCTTCTTTGGGGTCCTTGGGTTTGGCCATCTCTGACTGCATCACCTCTTCCCAGTCTCCAAAGGTTTTTTGACACAAGCTATGCAACCTCTGTTGACAGACACGTTACAGATGGAGAGGACATGCTCTGAAAAATCAGACTTTCCACTGCTAACTTATGTTATGACCTCCCTTTTTTATATAATCGTAATATCAAAATATTCTGAGCAACTTTCAGCTTACAATTGGATTGCCTCAGCCGCATAAGGCCTGCCTGGCCCTGACAAGCAAGCACTGCACCAGGGTGAGAAATTCCTCTGAAGTCAAAAGTGACTTGACAACTGGCTGATCAATAAAAGCAAAAAGGCTGTTTCTGCAAAGTCTCTCTCACTGCAGGATGGAGGAAAACCCAAATCTTATCATTCTACTATCTCACCTAGCCTTCTATACAGCCTCAAACTTCCTACTGTCTGGCCTTTAAATGTGGAAATTCATCCAGGTTGCCTGTTTTAGAACTTGTCAGGTTTTTTACCTGCTACATTTCAAAGCAATCCACAAAAGTCTTCTGGCTGGTCTTTCAGGATTCTACTATCTAGTCTTTAGATAAGGAAATTCACCAATGTCTCCTATTCTGAGCAAATTATGCCTTCTACTGTCTAGACCTCAAGGGAACTCACTTAAAACCTTTTAGCAAGTTTCTTCAAAGAACTTTTCCAAAATTTGATTTGCAAGAAATTTCCTCTTCCTGCCTCTCAGGTAGAAAAAAACCCCACTAAGTAGTAGATAAGGTTTAAGGGACTTTATTTTAATTAATATTAGTCTTAAACTTTGAGCACCTATGTACCTGTTTTTAACCTTGATTGATTTTAGAAAGTTATAATCTCAAGTAAAGGTCAAAAGGACCCCAGACTATTCTTAGAAAAAAGGTGATTGTGATCTCAGCCCCTTTCGTATGCTAATGTCATCCCCCAGCCTGCTTGAAATGTATAAAATAAACCTCTGCTAAAGGCAGGGCAGGAAGATTTGCACCCAACTCCGACTCCCATGTCTTCCTCACTCCCCCTCCCCTTTACTCCCCAATTTTTAGAATATCACCTCGCCGACGTAGTTCCCACCTTGAGACCCTGTCTGTGTCAGCCTCTCAACAGCCTGAAATCGGGGTTGGTCCCCAACAGTTTTCACCTGCCTCCGGACTCCATGGAGCTCAGGTTTTAGCCTCTCAAGTTGGTTGGTCACTATTAAAGCACCCTCTGCAGGGAAGGTGGGGGCCGGTGAGGGCAAGAGAAGATGGAAGCTCACACTGTCAAGGTAGCTCACTGACTCATTGGCCTTGAAAGGCTTTCACATATCCCTTGGTATTCAGGCTGGCTGCACCCCACACTCCATGTACATATAAGTCCACCCCTCAGAAAAGGAGACTGAACAAAAGGCCTTCTTGCCTGAGGAGACAGAGTGAAATTACAGCCAAGAACCAACTCCCACATTATTGAAATCTGTCTTTTCAGACCCTAGGTTTGTCCTTCCACTAGAGGTGTGCTTTCTCCTCTGCACAGCCAGTAGCCAGTGCTTTCCAGATCATTCCATCTGCCTTCATTGAAAGCCTCCCAGGAAAGGGGATAAAATCCTCCTTTTCATCACAGCATAGGGGCAGGAGTGGCTACATGGAACCCTGAAAAGTTACAGCTAAAAATGCAAAAAAGTAAGATTTTCTGACTTTGCAAGAGCAATGCCAAGGGCAAGGAGCATGAAGTGAGGTGCCAGAAGGGCTCCTGCATGCCCAGAGCCAGTCCAGGTGTACCACCACCCATGGTCCTGCGCTGGCTATGTGGCAGACATTGCTAGGAGTCTGTGCTTTGGAGCAAGGCAGATGGTTTGAGACACTGGGCCCCTTGTTTGGTTTAATGTTCTACTGATGCCCTTTTAAAATTCTTAGTTTTTGAACAAGGAACCCTGCATGTTCATTTTTCACTGGGTACCTCAAATTATGTCACAGGTCTTCAATGACCAGTCCTTGATGAAATATCTTAATCTAAGGGAACCTCCGCTTTCTCACCTGTGAAGCAACAGTAATAACCACCCCAGCCTCACATAGGTCAAGGATGAACTCTGAGACCACATGCCGAGTTCACGCAGGATCAAGCAGAAGTAAGTACTGAACCAATGACAGTCCCTACGATGGACAAAATGATAATAACCACAGGCTGTTATGTGACAACAGACACCCAGCTCAACAAAGAGGATGCTGACAACTGTGTCCCAGATCCGAGAGACCAGGAAAGGGTCCCCAACCTTGGTCTCTTACCTCCCCGAAACGGCTGTGTTTGCATCTGCAGACGAATCTTGATTAAGTCCACGGGTGTGCCCAGCCCAACAGAGACCACGCCGGCCACAGAGCTGGCCAGAATCAGGTCAGACAGGGCACGGGTTGAACTGGCCTCAGGCTCCCTGCTGTGGTGCTGGCTGAGGAACCTCTCTGTGTTACTGAAGACCCCGAACACCACTGAGTTGTAGACAGCGATGCTGGCAAGGGGGAAGGACATGCCCTTGAAGAAGCCAAACACCTGTGGGAAACCCAGTAGAGGCAGCATGAGGGCCAGGCTGTGTGCAAGAGGGAGCCGAATCCACCCACACAACCCACCCCAGCTGCCCTCTTCAAGGGCTGGAGCCAAGACCCTGCCCTTGTGGGGTCTTCGGAAAAGATAAGGCACTATGCCTCTGAGACAATATGAACACCACGTGATGGGAGATTAGATGAATGCCTGGTAAGGGCCCGGCGTTCTTGGCCAGAGGAGAGTCAGCTTGCTCCGTGAGCAGTGATGGGATGGGCTGGCACCCACACTTGCCAACCAGTGTAGTGTTCTGGGGGTGGGGATCATTCAGATTGGAGCTGAGGGTGAAACTGTGGAGCCTGCAGGGTGGTGGGCTGCCAAGCACCACAAACATCCTCTTCTTTTGTCCCTTAAACAAAAGCCTGCTCAGACACTTCTTGCCAAGTGCCAGGCCCTGGGGGACAAGAATAAGGAAGAAATTCTTTTCACCACTACTGGGCTCACAGTCTGAGGCGGGGAGGGGGAAGGGACCTGGACAAACTGACAAGCAGTAAAATACAAGGAGCCAAACTTACAGGTGAGGCGGTAAGGAGAGTCCACCCTAAGGGGCACGGTAGATGGGTACCCTGGCCTTGGGTGTCTCCTGGCTGACTACAGGAGAGGGGCACGTCCAGGAGACAGGAGAAAAAGCTGAGGGGAGGTGCTAGAGGCTGAGGTGAGGGTCCTTGACTGCATTCTCAACATCACATATGCTCCAGTGAAAGCTGGAAAATTCTATAGGCCTTTGGAGAAGCCAGAGTAGCATGTGTATTCCAGCCCTGTGCCAGAGATGAGAAAGTTTCAGGAAGCTGTCTTACAAACTCCAGGTTGTCTGCGAACCTGCTAATCCAGACTGAAGCACATTCACTCTATTTGCTAAAGCATCCATTCACACACACTCACAATGCTGACACACACACACTCACACAGGCACTCCCACTCACACACACTCCCACATACACATACTCACACATACATGCACACGTGCACACATACACATGTTCCCACACACTCTCACACACTGACACACACTCACTCACACACACTCATACACACACAATCGCACATATACACACTTACACTCCCACATACACTCTCACACACTCACACAGCCACACACTCTCGCTCACATACACACATGCCCTGCTTGGGCGCTTCCTCAGCTATCTTGGGACAAAGCTTGGCCCTGGGCTGTTGCGTCTCCAAGGAACACCCATGGGCCAGGCAGGAGCCCCGGAGCCAGCACGGTGGCTGGCAGACACCATGGGGTGTGTGCCAAAAAAGACACACAACGGCTGTCTGTCAAGCACTGAGGAGTCGCGCATCACCAGGAACAGCTGGTCCTGGGTTCACAGTGCGCACCCAGACTTTAAAGCACTCCATCCAGAGAGTTGGAACGACACTCTGACACAGGCACACTGCAGCTCAGAAGCTCCAGGAGCAGAGAGGAGACTCCCAAGCCCCGGCTCCTCTGCTATGAGGAAGGCTGGCGGGCACGGAAGCCGCCGCAGGGTTACATTTCCAGTGATTCCAGGAAAAGCCTCTGGCTGCTCAGCATGGACTCTCACCACTTCTTACTCAACAATTCACTGATTCTGAATTTTAAAATTTACTTTCAATTCCCCAGCCGGGTCGCACACGCTACTTCTCGAAAAGAGCACTTGATGTGTCCAACTTTTCCCTTTGAAAGGAAAAATCTGTCTTCATCTTGAGTGACCTGTGCGCAAGCCAGTGCTATAGTCCGGAACCAGAAGCCCCAGCTCCCACTGCTCCGGATAAAGGGACGCCTGTGAGCACATGGTTGATGGCCACACGTTGGGCTTTGAGGAATTGACCAGACACCCTGTTTTTGCAGGGAATTTCCACACTGTGGTTCTAAATTCCTCCAATTTTCTCCAGAGAGTCAGCCACACAAAAACAGTTTTTTCCCGAGGAACATCAATCTAGGTGCCAGAGGTAAGTTTAGGGGACATGTAATGTTTGAGGTGTGGTGTGACAGGAGAAGGGAAACAACCAAAGTGATGGGCAGGACCCCTCCTGGTGTGCTGGTGTGACTGCTGTGGCCAGACAGGGCTTCACCCTATTTCAGGCAAGACCCAGGCAGCCCAGGGGAGGTTCCCGCCACCCTGAAGAGGCACTTACACTCTCCCTCGTGTACACAGTGCGGATGCAGTTGAGCGTGTTCCCATAGCCCACACCGGCCTGCAGGCGAGCCTGTGGAGAGAGGCAAGGACGTGAGGGCCCAGGCAGAGGTGCTGCACATCTCCATGGTGCCCGAGATGCCGAGCTTCTAGCAGCGAGGCCTAGAGAGGAGACCTGCCCAAAGTGACCTGACCAATAAGGGGCTTGGGTGTCAGGGCCTGCCAGACTCAGCCCCACCTTCACTGCCTCCCGCCATGTCCCGTACAGGCCTGCTACTGCAGCAGCTCTCCTGGGCCAAGAGAAGAACATAAACCAGTGTATTGCTGCAAAGAATGCTTGTTTGGCGGTACATGATCCCTGCCTCTTAAAAACCAAACACAGCTCTGTCCTATCTGCTGTCCATCATTCTGCCTAAATATTCCCAGAATGACCTGAGCTTCCCACCTTCAGACTGTTCATCTCTCCCCTGGATGATGGCCTAGTCCCAGCCTGGCCTCCATGCTTCTCACTCTCTCCTCCGCCTGTGTCTACACAACAGCCAGACCCATCTTTTCCAAACAATAATAAACCTCTTGACTGCCGTTTAAAGCTCCCCAGTGACTCCCTTTAACCTTCGAATAAATTCCACACTCTGGACCAGTCCCCAGGAGTTCCTCCTCACCCACACCCTTCACTTCCTCCACTCCCCAGTCCTCCATGCTCACCACATGGCATCCTCAGTACTTGGGGACATACATTCTTTCCCACTTCCAGAATATTTGGCCTGTTGTTTCTCTCTCCTAGCTTTCCTCCATGTTCCTCCTGTCTTTGGGGTCTGACTTTTGATCCTGTAAAGGAGTCATCTGTTTGTTCGCTTATTTAGCACTTATTAGGGTTCCGCTTCTAGGGCAAGGCTGTCTCTACTTCCCTCTCATCCCTGGTGCCTGGCTCAGCTCTGGTACACATTGGCTGAAAAGGGGCCACATGGCATCTCTTACTGAGGTTGGCTCTGGTGACCAGTGGACAGCAGTTAATAGAGACAGAGGGTCTGAGTAAGTCCACCAAAGTGCCCAGGACATCCCCCAACCTGGTCTCAGAGGGTTCCCCTCCTTTTGTGGCATGCAGCCTATAGTTCTCCATTAAAAGTCTCTCAGCACCCACAACGAGCTGTGGCTAATGGGAGGAAGCAGCAGAGTCACAAAAAGAGGAGACACAGACCCTGCACCCTAGAGCCCAGGCGTCACTGAGGAACTGAGACCGAGGCTGCAGCTAAGGCTTCACCCTAACAGTCTGGGCTGTAGGTTAGTTAGCAGGCCCTGAAGAACACCCACCACGAAAGTGATCTCTGGGGAGAGAATCATGGATGGTGTTCTACTGTGGTGAACTTTCTCTTCAGTTTTCAACTAGAGTAAGAGTTGTTTCCATTAGTGTTAGATTGTAAAATTTTAAAAAATAATAATATTATTATGCACACAAGTAACATGAGAACACATTCTCTACATAGAAAAATCTCCACAGTACACTTAAGACTAAAGCCTCCTTTGGCTCATTCCTCTCCCTCACCTCACCCCTCTCCTGAGCTTGCAAGCACAGCTATTAGAGTGGCTAATTCCTTTAAACAGGTTTATAAGCACAGATAGCCCTAGAAAATATGCCATGCTCTTAAGCTAAATGGTATCACACTACTCCCTAAGTGTTATTTTCATTATTAAAGAATTGTAATTATTGACTCACCCTACCAATATTTATTGAGTACATATTTTATAATGGTCACTATTCCCATCTCTGGGAATCTAGCAGCAAAGAACAAATTATCTGCCCTGATAGTACTTGAAGAGAATTTGGAAAAGACAATCAATAAAAAAATAATTCCCAAGTAAATACAAGATGGTAACTATGGAGAACAATAAAACAAGGACCAGAAAGAGGGGGTAGTAGGGAAGGAACAGTAAACATTATATTGGGTGGTGGGGAAGAGGCACTGGAAGATATAACAACAGCATGAGAAGTGAGTCTTCATGGCTATGATAAGCAGAAAGACAGAAGTTTCACTTGGGATGGTGGGGGGGGTCCCTCAGCGGGGTAAAGACACGGGCCGGAGAAGGTGCAGGCAAAGCCCTGTGCTCTCTCTGCCCCACTTCCACCTGGCATGAGGCTGCATACTCTCCCCCTGACCTCAAGTTGGTCAGAACTGCACGTGGGCAGTGAATCTACTATACCCGTGAGTCCCCAGAAGGGACAGTTGAGACGGTTGAATGGCTGGTCACTCAAGCAGATGGTCCATGGGGGAGCCCAACCCAAGCAGCTGATTCAGGGCTCAAAAGTTTTAGAGCTCTGGACCAAAGGTCGGCCCGCCACCTGGGTCTGGGGAATGCTGCCACAGCACAGCGAGCAGCACGCTCGGGGCTCCGGCGCTTCGATTATAACAGGAGCTGGCACTTAGTGTGCACCAACTGCATACTTGGGCGAGCACTGGGCATCTCACAGCACTTTTCCCACAAAACGAATCCATTTTGCAGATGAGTTAAGCTGACACTTGGGCCAATTTCGTATTGTTGCCATAAAGAGTTATTGAGTGGCTTAAAGCAATTTTAAATGTATTGTCTAAGAGTTCACTAGTTGGCCTACAGGTGTCTGCATTCTCATGAGAGACCCTAAATCAGGCACAAACCCTGACTGCACCTATGCCAGGAGCCAGGTGAGAACCCTGACATTAGCTCCAGGGCGCAGCGGGGGCAGCTGTCCCCACTGAGGAGGCGGAGGAGGCACTCAGACCCGGCTTCTTCTGGTTGGGCCCACGAGTCAGCCCTGGGGCCTCAGGCAGGCTCCCCCTTATCTTCCCACAGCCCAGCATGTGTGTGCTCATCACTCTGCCCTCAGTGCCATGGGGACAATGTTCATGACAGCCCTACAGGGAGGCTCAGGAAGGTAAAGGGCTGTGTCTAAGGTCACATAAGAGTAGTAGGGAGACTGGGACTAGACTCCAGATTATTCTGGTAAGCCCTTTTGCAGACCTTTCTCAGGGGATAGTGGATCCAGAGAAAATGTCAATAGAAGGAGGGAAGAATGTTTTGGGGGGAAAGCAGGCCCCTGGCATATTCCATGACTGGACCCAGTAGCAGGTCACATAAGCTGAGGTTGTCGGGCTGGAACCCTCCTCAGAGGTCCTCAGGTTGAGTTTTCAGAGAGAAAATAACTTTTCCACACTTGGCACCCAGAGGTGATGAGAAACTCCAGGGTCAGCCAACTGAAGAAGTCACTCAGGATGACTGCTGGCTTTTCCAGGGGTCCTCATTGTCCCCCAAAAGACAAATGTATGGCTATCATGTAAGTCAGAGCATTTTAAATATACTTCCAAACCTGACTGAAATCCAGTTAGACATTTATGTAGGATATGGTAAATAAGAAAACTCAATCAATATAGAATGGTGTTGATAAAATAGCAGCTACTGATTCTGAATGCTCGCTGGGTACTGGGAATGACACACACCAATGTACGTGTACCGAGCGGGCTAGGGATTTGGGCCCTATTTAACAGAGGCTGTACAAGCCAGAAATTATGAAAACAGGATACAGATCCGGAACCTGTGTGATTCTAAACCATGCTTTCTGGCTGTTTCCCAAATCACACTGTCCTAAACAAGTGTATCAAGTGAGCTTTTGATGCAGAAGTCTAGGAACAGGTAAGGTGAGTTTAGGGGAGGACGAGGAAAGCCAGAAACTACCTGGCTGCTCAGGGAGATGTAGAGAATGTCTCCATGAGTCTTCCAAGTCTCCTCAGGCCCAGTCCCTACAGAGGGACACAGCAGGGTCCCTGGACCGAGCCAAGGTACAGCCAGGATCGCCACTCATTCGGTAGGTGCTCCCACCAGCCATGCCAGCTAGGCCTGGCTGGGAACAGGGGTGTCAGAGGCTGCCAGATGCGAGGTGACTGGTCAGCCATGGATGGGGTGCTCAGCAGGCATCTCAGGGCCTCACTTGGTTCTGGGGAGCTTTGGGGAGGGCCTGGCATGGGCCTACCTCATGGAAGCCATGGTCCAGACTTGATAGGCTGGTCAGTCCACTTTGGGCACAGCCAGACCTTACTGCCCTCCTCTGTGGGTTCTGAGAGCCAGCACTTGGATATTTGTGTGTCTGGAAAAGGGAGGTGGCAGGACCCCAGTGCCCCTCACCCCCATCCCATTCTGCTCAGATTTCTCCCAGCATCCTACTCTAACCCTTGCTCACCTCTCCACATACACATTGGCCCTCTTTGTTTTTGTGAAAAGCATACTTCAGTCCTGTTTCCACTCTTCGGCCTCTGTGCTACTTGTCCCTCTGCCACAAGCACGCTGCCCCAGGTCCCTTGGATCACTTGGGTCTCATCTTAGCTGTCTCCACAGCAAAGAGGCCATCACTGACCTCAGAGATAGAAAAGTCATCACCTGTGTTCTTGTCTTCCCGGCACTCACCACTGGCTGCAAATGCCTGTGCATTGATTGCATTCTCTAATTATTGTCTGTCACCCCCCCCCCTCCAAAAAGCCATCACCACCAAGAGGCTCTATCCCTTAGATTGCCTCCCTCACTGCTGAATCTTCAGAGCCTAAGTTAGCCAGAGAATATGGCAGATCTGCTGGATGGCTCCCAATACCTGCCTCCCACCACTGCTTCTCTCAGGCTTCTGAGTAGATGACTGGTGTTGACGTTTTCCTGACAAACCAGATCCTGCATCCTTAAGAGTCTTGCTCCAAGAGATCACCTACTCACACAAGTAGGAAGCAGTGGTCTGCTTGCAGCAAATATACCCTCTTGTGGCAAAGGACCGCTGCTACCCCTACATGTCTGGCCCTAGGCTTGCATCTTGCCCTACAATGACAGTGTGATTGGGCCAGCCCTCCTGTCCTCAGAGGCCCTGCCACAGAACTCCTGGCCAGCTGAGCTTGCTTTTAATGCTTCGCAGTTCCACTCAGGCTTTTTGGAGCTGCAGGACTGAAGAATCCTATAGGTTCATACCTGCAGGGGCCTCTAGCAATGGCGTAAAGCCTTTCTGCAAGAAAGTGGCTCTGAGACCACCTTTCTTCATTCAGGAAACAACTGCTGGCTTCTGTTCTGTTCCAGGAGCTCTGAATGTGGAGAAGGTACTGGCCAGTGAGGCCGGCCAGCCCTGGAGCCAAGTTTGCTTTGGGTTTTAAGCCCCCATCCTGCCACACCCCAGTTCTGAGGTTTGCAGGAGGTTCCTGAACTTGCACCTCACTCTACCCCTAGGAAACAACAGCAAAATTAGACTAGCCCCAAGAGGGTAGGACTAAGCCTGTGACTCAGCACTCTGTCCAGCAACCAGCACAGACCCTGCCTTCCATCTCCCCTCAGCACTCCTCTCCCATTTAAAGTGTTCCTTCAACCATTTTGAATGGAATTTTCCATCCAAAAGAGAGCAAGCTTGGACTCTGGCCTAAGAGGGGACCCTGGGCAGGCATGGAAGAATACTGAGAAGAGAGGCAATTTTCAGCAGCCAATTGACACAGTACCCAAAAGTGTCCTCTCTGTGCAGGAGAGTTGATCTAGGCAGAGTTGATTTTGAAGTCAAGGTTGAGGAATAAGGATGTTCTCCTAGAGGGTGCTGGGTCTTGCTCACCACTGGGGAGAGAGGGTGTCCCTTTGCAGCATCTGATTCTTCACTGTGCTAGTTAGTTGTGAAATCTGAGGCAAAACCCTTCCCTCCCAGGTCTCAGCTTCCACATTTGTAGAACAAGAGCCTTGGAAGAGCCCATGTGAGCTAGCTCTGCTGTGCCAGAATCCTCACACTCCACATGCCTCACCAGTTGTTTCCGTTCTCGCCCTTTATCCAGAGTCCTCATGCAAGACATGAGGTCTATGAGGATAGATGCTGACTTCCCTTTCTTGCATCCTGACCCTTAGCTGCTGTCAGAAGCCAACCTGGCTACTCTGGCCTTTCCCAGGCAAAGTGCCCACCGTAGTGCCTTTGCTTATGCTGTTCCCTGCACATGGAGTGTCTTTCCCAATCACCTAAAACCCAAGCTTAAACTCTGGGTTCAGGTGTCATCTCGCACATGAAACCTTCTCTGGTTCCTTGAATCCAAAGGGACTGGCAGCATGATGCCAACCAGTGCTCAAGCTCCCCCACGCTCATGAAGACTGGAGGCAAAGAATGGTTGAGCCATCCCAAACCAGGCTTCCTGGTACCCCTCCTCATAAGTTGGCAAAAAGAGCCTTCCAGGCTGGAGATGCTCGGGGATCAGAAACAGCTGACACATGCCTAGGTGGCATCCTCACTCCAGGCTCCTTTCCAGGGTGTAAGGGCTAACAAGGCTACTGTACCTTGACCGTGTCCAGGGGGTGGCCGATGATGACACTGGCTGCACCTAGGGGTCAAGAAGAACACCTGGTCACTCAGTCCTTGCACTGCTAGCTAGTACCAGTGGACTCTTGGGGTGGGACAGAGGGCTGACACACTTATATGTACTCAGTCATTAGCTAGTGAGGGACCCCAATGTGCTGAGGAAGACAGAGTAAATAGACCAAAACCTGGATCCTGACTCAAGAAATGAGCACCCCAAGAAAGGAAGGTAAACTGGCCATCCACAGATCCCTTATCTTATATATAAAAATTAACCCAAAATAAATCAAACTCAAGCATAAGTGCCAAAACTATAAAACTCATATAACTCATATAACCATCAAAGACACATCAACATCGCTAATCATTAGGGAGATGCAAACTAAAATCATAATGAGATTCTCTTCACACCCCTGGGCTATAATAAAAAAAAGTTAAAAAAAAAAAAAAGGAAAACAGGTCCACCCTGGTGGTGCAGTGGGTTAAAGTGCAGCACTGCAAGCTAGCTGCCGCTGCTTCAGTCTGAGTTCGAGCCCTCCCTGGAGCTGACCCACATGGCACCGCAGACCTCTCCTGTCTCACCTGCTGCTCCCCTCAGCAGTGCACTTCCTCACCCTGCCTATTCTGCTCCCCACTCTGTCTCTGGTGAATCCTCACACCACCCCTGCAACTCTGGCCTGTACCCCAGTTCTGTATGCATAAATAAATAATCTTAAAAAAAAAAAAGGAAAACATGTTGGCAAGGACGTGGAGAAAATGGGACATTGTTCCAAAACCGTTGCTGGTGAAACCGTTTGACAGTTCCTCTAATCGGTGAACATAGAATTCCCATAAAACCCAGCAATTCTATCCCATGCACCCCCTCCCCAACTGAAAAAAGGCACTCAAGCAAGGACATGCACACACATGTTCATAGAAGCACTATTCACAAGAGCCCACTGGTGGAAATACCCTAAATGTCAATCCTGGAAAAATGGACAAACTGCTACCTTCATACCATGGAACATTATTAAACACAAATAATGGGGTGCTGATATATGTTGTGATGTGGATGAACATTTAAAACATTATACTAAGTGAAAGAGACCAGAGCACCCCGCTAAAAGTCATATTAGGTGACTTTATTTTTTTATTATTGTTTTTTATTTTTAATGATGAAACATTATTTTACAACCTCGTTTATTTTTTCACAGTATAGGATTTCTCCCCTTACATGTGGTTATGAGCGTTTTCCCACCACCAAGGCACACATGGTCCTCCACCACATCCATAGTGTTCTCCCCTCTGCCTCAGCCCCTAACCCCCCATTTTGGGAAGGGGCTGCATTGCCAAGCACCCAATTTCTGATGGTTTTCTTAGACGGGGCAAAAGGAGTATTTTAACTAAGTAAAACTCCTCAAAGTGCCTTCCATCCCGCCCCACCTATAGCTAGCAGCGATAAATCAAATGGAAAGAGATGGGAGAGGAAATGGATTCGACTCTTGCCCAAGCAAACCCACCCCAGACCGGGCAGAGGTTCCGAAGCTGTATGAAGGGACAAAAGCACCCAGAAGAGAGGCTTGGCTGTAACAGTGGCTGAAGGCAGGAAGGGTTCTTCCTGACAACTGGCACCCAAAGCCCAGCTCTTCCCTCTCTGCTCACAGTTCCGAAGGCTCCCCTCCTCCAGCTGGGGCGCCCCCTAGGGCCGCCCCGACAGCGAAGCCCGGCTCGCCATCCCACCACCGGGAGTTCCTCGCCCAGCGCTACCCTCAAACAAAGTTTCTCTCGAGTCACGTCCCCAAATTCAGGTGTGCACCCGGTCGCCAAAGGGTGTGCACGCGCCGAGAAGCTCCATTGGCCGTCAGCTTTGGCCAGCGGTTTAATCATTACTGGATCACGTTCTGCGGCTCCGAATTTCGAGACAAATCCGGAGCAGAGTTAATCGCTGTGAAGCCCGCGGAGGTTAGCACAGCAGCAGCCAGGGACTCGCTAGACTACCGCGCGCGGCAGGCGGCGCGCGCTCCGGGGCGCGCGTTGGGACTGTCTGGGCACCTAGCTCTCCGACCCGGCACGGGGTGTAAACTAGGCCCGCAGCGCTTGGTCGGGCTCGCTTGCTCTCTCCGTCCGGCCCGGGGGTTCCCTGTAAGCACACTCCCCTCTAAGGGTCCCCCGTAAATAGGGTCTCACCTCCGATCCAGCCCGCCGCAAAGTCTTCCAGCTGGAAGATGCCCATGGCTGGTGCCGAGGCGCCTTGCCCACTTGGAGTCGAATCAGTGCCCAGTCAGTGTCTGTGGGCCATGGACGGCGGAGGGGCGCGCGACCAAGGGGAGAAGAAAGTGGGAGCCCCGCAGTTCTAACTCCAAACCCAGTCTCCCGGTCACCGGCCCGCTCTCCTCTCAGAGCTGGCCGGCAGCTGACATCACGCCTCCAGCGGACTTTAAAGGCGCTGCACTCTGGCAGGGCAAGGGTGCACTGGGCTCGCACACCCCAGAGCTGCTGTCCTGAAGGGAGATTCCCTGAGCTGGGCCTTTTCCCTGTCTTCCTCCTCACTGGCCTCAGGCCTGGAGGCCAAAGTGCCAGCCTGTAATTGTTCACATGGTGTCCCAGCTGGAAAAGTTTTCTGGGACTTTTGGTCAAGTTCATTAGGAGGAGAGCTGGGGAGGGAGGCTTAGCTAAGGGCAGGAGGTATCTGATGACCAGCACCAAGGGCTCTCTGTGACAGGGTTATTATCTGAGAAGACACATCCTCTTTTAAATTAAAACAGCAGCGAAAGACAAACAAAGCCAGAACATTTTGAGGCACTGAGGGAAAGCCATGGATGTTTTCACTATGACAGACACAAGGACATATTTTTCTAAGCTAGTTTCACGACAGGGTCAACCCTTACACAGCCGCCACACCCCCCCCCCAACACACACACACAAACCTCTACATAGATTGCAGAACTCTGTTCATGAACATCTGAAATAATGTGGGGGCCATCCTTAGCCCAGGGACAACGCTCTCACAGCTCTAAATTAAAATAGCTCTTGATAATGCCATCATTTTCTGAGCACTTAAATCATGCCCCTCACTGTCCTTGTACTTACTCTCCACAGCAAACCTGTGAGGTGGCACTGTCCCTATTCCTAGATGAGGAAAAAGATTGTTTTATGTACATAATCTACTTTTATAGAACATTCTGCGCACACCACATAAAGGTTTTAATCTTTAGAATACTGGCCCAAGTTCGATAAATGTCTCATCAAGTCTCTGTGAAGAGAGACTTGAGCTTATTCCAAAACACGAGCTATTGCCATGGATGCCCCGGGTAGATCTAGCTGGGAACGGAAGATTCAGCAGCACCCCTGCAGAAGGCTGACAGCACCCCTGGCAGGTGGGTGCGGCTGGGCATGAGGTCCTAGCAGCGAGAGGGTACACTGTACCTCCAGAGCTGCCTGCCTTGCAGCCCCCAGAAGCCACTGAGAGTCACTCACTGAGGTACAGAAGCCACTGCTGTCCCCTTACTCCATCCCAGGGCTCTGTAGCCCAGCTACCACCCTGTTTCTAGGGACAAGCAGGCCCCAGCCCTTTGAGCCACCCGGAGAGTCACTTCCTACCACCCAAACACACCCTCCTCTGCTTCTCTGTAAACGTTCACACTCCAGCCAAGCAAATGCATGTACGACAGACTCAGAGCTGCCTTGCCCTACAATGTCCTTGAGCCCAGACAGTGGTGAGGGCTTTACAATTGCAGCCCTCCTCACAGCAGAGAGCAGCCCTGAGCGTCTGCCACTGACATCAGTTTTGTATGTCAACTTGGTGATTCAGTCAAATGCAAGTTGGGGTGTTAGGGGGAAAATAGCTTCAGGTGTGGTTAACAATACCACCCCTTTTCTTTAAGGAAAGGAACATCTCCTGAACAATCTGGTTTCATCCAGTAGGTTGGAAGGCCTTACAGCAAAATGGAGGTTTTCCCTGTAGGAAGAAGAAACCCCACCTGTGGGAGGCAGGATCAGCTCTGCCCTGCAGCCTGCCCTCTACACTTCAGCCCCGCCACAATTATGTAACAAGTATGTCTCCTACCGCTTCTGTTTCTCTGATGGAAATCTGACTGTAAAATAGATGTGGAAATCAAGGCTCTTTAAGGTCAAGATTCTATCAGTCGGGGACTGTTTCCCCTCCCCCATCCATCTCACCCCTCAGCTACAAGGCAGTAGAGAAATTCTAGGGGCAACCTACAGCTTGCTCTTGTCCTCTCCAACCTCTCCCCATACATCTCCCACCCTACTTTCCCATCCAACCCTATCCTGAAACGGTTCTTGTCAGATGCTTAAGGTTCCCTGGCCTAATCTGGTGGGCAAATTCTCTCTTCCCATCCTAGTTCTGGGAAATGATGCCTGCAGCCATCCCAGCTCTGCCCTGTGGTTTCACAGTCATGTCTCCATTTCAGGTACAGCTCAGCAGGGGCCAACTCCTTCCAGGCCTAGCTCAGTCAATGCTGTCCACCTCGGGCCTCCCAGAAAGCAGGCAGTGGTCCTTTCTCCCTCATGTCCCTGTCTACTGCCAGGTTCCAACTGGATGCCCACCATGCTCATTGTGGAAATGATTTAGCAAACTTGGTTCTCCCTCTATGAAGAAATTTTTTTTTTTCTGATTTGATTTCCATCCCATCAGTCAACACCCTGGGATTGGAAATGTGAGGGGTGTGGCCTGGAGGAAGGGCGTCTTCTCCCACTGACACATCAGTCTCACATCATGTGGGCCAACAGACATGAAGCAGTAGCTAGCCAGGCCTCTTTCTCCCAAAGCAGGGTGGAGTCTGGTAACTGAGGTTTGAACCTAAAAGGACAGCAGTGCAGTGAGTCATGGCACACTTTTCAGCTTCAGTCCCTGCGCTGTGCCCTGCAGTGTCCTGTGAGACATAAAAAAATCTCTCAACAACTTTTTGTGAGTTTGCCATTGAAGCAAGGCCCAGATGGAAAGACTTCCAGTTCCCCAAGCTCTTCAGTAGGACCACAGGTGCCATCCCAAGTGTCAGCCATCCCCACAATCCCAGTGTCAGAACCAAAGGGGACGCTGAGTTGACAGGTAGTGACCTTGGCCACCTTGGGATTGACCTACTGAGCCCAGTAAGCTGAAACTTGAACTGCTGATGTGTTAGAGCAGCACAAATGGAGTGTACAGCTCTCCCGAACCAAGTGGTGCCTTCCTCAAGGCCAGCTTCTATCTCCTTCAGGTCTAAGTTGAAAGTTCCTCTGCCCAAAGATCCCTGTCCGGACACTCACTCAAGGCCATGACCTTGTTGCCCCTCTCCATGTATCCCTGCTTCTCCTTCCATATTGGTCAGTCCTTCAAGACCAGGAGGCCAGGGTCTGACTGAGTTGCCCACCACTTTAGCACTCTTAGCCTCTGCTGCTGAGCAGGACAGTGGTTACTGATGACTGAGGGAAAATGATGAGGCAGGATGCATGCATGTGTTATGCTCCTTTCCGGGGGTTTCATCACTCCTGTCCTAGCCCCTAACGTGGGAGCATGGGGGTTCCTCCTGACTCCTATGGGAAAGAGAGGAGCACACAGTAGTTCTCAAGGTGCTATTTGAGCTCCTCATTTGGGGCAGGACTCCTGCTCTTATTGAGGAACATGTTCAGATCGTCTTTGGTCCAGCACCTATTCAGCGGGATGCACCAAGTTAAGAAACAGAGGCAGATCCCACTGGCTGTGTGGTGAGGGCCAAGTAGCCACTGGGAGGCTGGGCTGCCTGCACTTCTGGCACTGCTGTGACTCAGCGGGCACCTCAGGAAAGCCTGGGCCTCTTTCCTTTTGGAGGGTAAGGCAGGTCTCAAATTCAGCATCCCAAGAAGTGAAATTCTGGGTCCTCAGGACACAAGCTGTGAGTGTCTTTTCAAGATGTGCCGGAAGAGGGTGCTGTTGCACAGCACTTGGGGCACTCAGGCAGAGAAATAGGGACTTGGCTGCTGGGGCGACTCTGGTTCAGACCTCCCTTTATCCTCTCACTCCCTAACATGCTGGCAGAGTCACACCCAGTTCACACTAAGGCAGCAGAAGATGCTGACCGGAAGGCTCAGGAGGAGTGTGAGGTGCCAGGGTCCGTTGCAGCTCTTGAGGTCATGTGTCAAAGCCCTGCTGAGCACCCTCTGTGCAGGTATAGTCTTTGTCTTGTAACATGTGCCCCAGTCAGCCTCAGGGAGGCGCTCCTCCATCATTCCTCCAGCAAACACAGCAGCTGGCCTCCTGCAGCAGGAGGCCATGACTGACTTGCAAAGAATAGAGTCCAGGGGGACAGTAGAGAGGAAGTACCCAGGGCAGCCATGGAAGGTGCGGACAGCGGGCCGAGGGGACAGCCTGAGAAATGTCATGTGTAAGAAAACACAGCAGTTGAGGAGCTTTGCCTTGTGGAGGCCCATTTCATGGGAAAGGAGCTGAAGGCTTGAGGCCTAGTAGAGGAGGAACATGACCGGCGAGGTGAGGGCTAAGATGTGACTTTGGGCCACAGCATCTGCTGGCTCCCAGCAGTCCCCAGTCCTGCTCCTCCTTCTGAGTGGCTAGAGCACCCATCTCAGGGCCAGGTGCATCTCACCTGGACCAACTTCCTAGCCCACTCCTTGCAAACCAGCCTTTGCTCCCCCAGGGACACTGAGGCCTCAGCTGACCAAAGGGTTGTGGTCTCCCTCCTCACACCTGTCTGAAAAGGGGCAGCCTGCACCACCCCCACCCAAGATGCACCCCCTCTCCCTACTTCCTACCCCTTAGCACACACATACAGCTCTCTCTGAATGCCTTCTGGACCACGGTGGGGGGTGCGCAGGGGACGGCCGGGAACTAGAACTATCAGGACATTCACGCATCTTCCCACTTGCTGTGTGTGTTTTGGATACACTATCCCTTCCAGGCCTCAGTCTCTCCATCTATTAAAAAGAGAGGTCAGACTTCAGGCCCCACACTTTGAGGATGACCCTCAGCTCTGCACCCACCCGCCCATCCAGGGTGGTGTGAACAAAGCAAACTGTTTTGAAGAAAAGGGAACATTTAAAAGACACCAAAGAGATCATAATTTTTGAAGTAAGTACAATGGAAAACATTTAAAAAAATAAAATCCTTAAGCCACAGGGTAGATTTTCTCTAAAATAGGGATTTCCTAAGTGACAAAAGCTGGTCTTGGGGGACTGTCCAGGAGAAGCAGCCACAGAAGCAGCAGCCTTCAAAGGTGTGTGCTCTGGCAGGGGCAGAGG